CCTTCGACAAGTCAGGAGATCTCGAGATTTGCCGAGAGGCGGCGGAACTCTGGGAAGCAGGGGGGCTGCGAGCAAAAGTGGACACCGCAGTCGCGGAGGTGAGGGAAGAATGCGAGCAGAAACGTTTGAAATGGTCCTACAATGACGTGCTGCGTCTCATACACGAATACGAGAAACACGACGCCACAGATTCCGTGTTGGAGAAGCTCGGCGACGAAGCGCTAGGCCAGGAGCCAGGCCACGAGGAGGGCGATGAGGAGGGCGGGGAGGAGGAGGAGGAGGAGGTGCACGAGGAGCACGAGGAGGACGAAGAGCAAGAGGAGGCCTCGTGGGCCGAGGCTCTTGCGGAACAGTGCGATGCCGCAGTTGCGGCACCTGGGCCTCAAGGATCCTCGGTATCCATGGACTGCGTGGTCGACGCAGAGGCGGCCGAGCAGGTGGCAGTGGCGACGTCCTTGGCAGAAACGCTCCGCGAGGCGGAAGATATGCTGCGCCAAGTGGGCATGGAGAAACTAGCGCAGGATTGCCGACAGCAACGACACAAACAAAAGAAGCGGTTGAGAGAGCTGGCGCGGGAGGACAACGAGGTCCTACGAGCGTTGACTGCCCAGCGAGACCACGAAGCCGCAGTGGTGGCGAAAAAGCGGCGCCTGGCTCTGGAAGCGAACGACAGGACGAAGGCGTTGCACGATCTCAAGAAGCAGATTCGAGAGGCCGAGGCCGCCTTGAGGGCAAAGAAGGAGGCCGCAGTTGCGGTGGAAACGGCTTTGGCTAACAAACACGCCCTAGCGCAGTGGAATCCCGAGGAGTTCAAGATCAAGAAAAACAGGATGGCAGCTCTGGATCGCCTGGCTCGCGGAAAAGGCGTCCTCTCAGACGAGCAGAGGGGGGAGTGGGCATGGTTCAAGACGCATTGGGACGAGGAGATGTGCAAGCAGCACAAGGAGCAATGGCCGCTCACGTTTGCTGGGTGGCTGCAAAAAGTCGCGAACGACGCGGCGTCTGGGAACCGTTCGGCGCTGTCGCAGTTCGTGCATTCGGAAACAGTGAGAACCCTGGGAGGGCAAATGGCGCTGGTAATCCCAGCCCTAGCGTGATGCAGGCCGCAGTTGCGGACCCACAGGAAGTCCAGAGGGAAGTTGTTTTTCCAAGCGGCTCCCGCGCGGGCAGGAGATGAGGCAAAACCGCAGTTGCGGTCTTCCTGCTGCTGTGAAAATAATCCTTTCACAGTCCCTTGCAATCGTCGCCCTCCTTCTGCTTCTCCGCCAGTCCATTTGTTGTTCTTTCGGTTCCTTTGAGTCCTCGCCCTCCTTCTGCCACTCCTCGAATCCTCTTTGTCTCCTCCCTCCATCCGACCCCATGCCCATTCACGATCCATTTCCGTAGCCACCGTGGCTCGAGGTGGCGCACGCGAAGACGCAAGCATGTGGCCGCCCGCGCGCCCGAGCGCATCCTCAGGGAGTATGGACCGTGGACCTCGATTCGCCAGAACGGTGTTCATCCACAACGCTGAGGAGGAGGAGGGAGGCAAAGACGAGGAAGCCGCAGTTGCGGATGATGACGACGACCAGCGGACGCAAGATGGCGACAGCACCGTCGCGTCCTCGGCTGCCTCCGCTGACGAGGCTGAGTCCCGGGGAGGTGCGGGAGCCGCAGTTGCGGCAGCACATGACTCCTACATGCCGAGAGTGTTGTCGTCGCGGAGACCCTGGAAACGGGTGCCCATCATCGAGACAAGCAATCTGTCGGAAAAACAAAGAGCTCTTGTCGACGCATGGGAGGAGAAAACGGAGTTCGAAGCGGGACGGGTCGGCTTCTACGTGGCCAACTTCGGAGGGACTGCAGCTAGACCCACGCAACGCGCGGACGAGTGGGCGCAGCTCCGCGCGAACCCTGCCCAGATCATCGCCCTCTGCGAGTGCGACGACGAGACCTGCGCGGTACTCAGTGGGGAGCACGACGCGAGGGACAGTGCAGCCGCAGTTGCGGACGATAGGTTTCGGAGTCGGACTCAATACAACTACCTGTGCGTTAAGGGCGGCGAGCCATCAGGGACCCTCCTTGTTGGCATGAGGGACCGCAGTGGCGGCCACATTGAACACGTAGACTTTGCGAGACTCTTCCACAAGCAGGAGAAGTCCAAAACGAAGAAGAAGAAGAAACCGTCCGCAGTTGCGGAGGCTCCTGCGCCAAAGCTGCACAACAAGTACTCCAGGGCGATGGTGGTGCGCGTCCACCTGGACCAGGCCGTGACCCATTTGGGGGGCTCCTTCAACGTCATGGCGGTGCACGTCCACCACAGCTTGGCCAACCAAGACTGGGGCGTCACGAAGCTCCATGAGTTCTACAACTGGTTCGTCGCCTACGTCAGGGAATGGGACGTGAAGGTCTGCATGGGGGACTTCAACATGTGCATGTTCCAGCTTGTGTCCTGGTGCCGCAATTGCGGCCTGACTGTGGACGTCGCCGCGTGGACCCCCTGGAAGACAGCAGGCGGCCAGCCCAGGGCAGACAGCATGGCGATTTTGTTCATAAACTGTCCTGGGCAGTACAAGCTTCACCATGGCCTGAGTGTTCTGCACGACCGTGAGGGCGGATTCTTGACGACCCAGCATGATCCGTCTTTCCCTGTCTTCGACTACACGAATGGCCCTGGGAAGATGCTTCAGACTTACGTGCCCAAGGCTGAGCCCGTTGAAAACAAGATGCGCGCCTTCCTGACGCCATCTGGCGAATCCTTGACCGCAGTTGCGGAGTTCGAGCAAAGGATGGCGCGCAGGGAACGCGACGATTGGGTGCGCCATCCCTTCAGAGTGAAGCAGGGCAACCTCGACGACAAGATATGGCATGGCGCCTTCGGCAGGGCGAGGCACGGAGCGCACTTCCCTCTGGTGGCTTTCACGCACAATACGTGCCGCAGGTCACCTGAAAGACTCGCCGCGAGGTTGGAACGCAGGAAGGGCGGCAGGAAGGGCGGCAAGAAGGGCGGCAAGAAGGGCAGCTACGCGGACACCGCAGTTGCGGGGAAGGGCGTCCGACCCCAGATGGGAACCGCAGTTGCGGGGAGAGACGCTGGGGCTGAGCGAGCTGGGAACACGCCACCGCCGCAAGCTGCCAACGGCGACGATGCGACCCCTTCTTGTGCCGCAGTGGCGGCTGGGTCCTGGGACGCCAGCGGCAGCGGCGCATGGGAGGCGCGCAGTCCCGCCACGAGATGGCAGGGCTGGTCCTGGTGGGACTGGAGCTCGAGCGAATGGGGCGCTGATGGCGCGCAGTGGTGGCCCTCTGATCATGCCGCAGTTGCGGACAATGCCCCTGAGGGCTCGCCTCCTCAGCGTGAAGTCGAGTGGGGCTCGAGCGGGCGACCTGCCGAGCGCCCTCCGCGGAGCTTCGAGGGGCAGCGTTGGTGATGGCCGCAGTTGCGGGCAAGTGGAGCATGATGTTGATTGCCGCAGTTGCGGACAGTGTACGCTGGAAAAATCATCATCATCATCAATCATAATCATCATCATATCATCATATCATACGTTCAAAGCAGTGCCGGGGCACTGCTTTGAACGCGTTCAAAGCAGTGCCGGGGCACTGCTTTCGATCGTCGCCTCGTCGCCGTTATAAGGGCTATTGGATTATCCCGAATCTTCCGTACCCGCCTTCGCCTTCGATCGTACGTGCATGTATTGCAGCTCCTGAGGCACAGGGAGACAGGACGGATGGAAGGGGGGGAAAAAGGATGGAACACGAGAGAAATTAGGAGGAGGGGGCCTCTCGGAAAGTCGCGCAGGGATATCCCAGGAGCGCCCGAGAACGTCCAGAATTCTGGGTTGTGGGTCCCGTCAAATTTGCTTGCAGAGTCAACGCGGCGAGTCAACACGACGTGTCTCAGGGCACGGTGGCGAATCTTCATATACATTGGTGATACACCGCAAGAGGCCTTCCAATCAGGCCCAAGAGGTCTCTAGGAGGCTTCTGGTCGACAGCCCAGGCACTCCGAATCAACAGGGAGGAAGGGAAGAAAAGGAGGATGAGGTGGAGGAGCAGCAGGAGCAGGAGCAGGAGGAGGAGGAGGAGGAGAGAGAAGGTGGGAGGAGGAGGAGGAAGAGGAGGAAGAGGTGAGAGGAGGAGGAGGACGAGGATGATGAGGATGATGAGGATGATGAGGATGATGATGATGATGATGATGATGATGATGATGATGATGATGATGATGATGATGATGATGATGATGATGATGATGATGATGATGATGATGTGAATGATGATGATGAGGAAGAGGAGGAGGCGACCATGGATCCCGAGAGCCGGGGACACACCATGTATTTCAAATAAGGACAATCAAGTATTTGTTCAGTGTCTTGAATGGGGCAGAAAATCTAACACCTTGAAATTTCCAGGGCCCAGTGAGTCCGCAGCCCAGGCGACCAGGAATCCCGAAAACATGGGATCCCCACAATAGCATAATGCTGATCCATTTGCTTATATAATTTTTGAAGATAAAATACGGGTTTAAGAACAATGGAATATTGAAATGTCCAGGGCCTCGTAATTCCGCAGCCCAGGTGACCAGGAATCCCGAAAATCGCAGAATAGAGGAGGAAGGTGATTGAAGGAGGCGGGGGGGAGGAGTGGGGATGAAGAGATGGAGGAGGAGGAGAAGGAGCAGCAGCAGCAGCATTGGACGGAAAGAGGAGGCGGAGGGCTGCTATTAGGCTGGATACTCGTACACATTCCTGGTCAACCGTACCCATTACTCCCTCCCTCCCTTCCCCCTCCCTCCACCTCCCCATGCTCCTCCCCCTTCCCCCCTTCCCCCCCCCTCTCCCTCCATCCCCTTCGTCCTCCGTGTGAGCCTCCTCCTCCTCCGTCTACTCTTTCCCGTCCTCCCTATCATCCCTCTCCTCTTCTCTAGCCCTCCTCACCCTCCTCGTCCTTCCCATCCTCATCCCTCCTCACTCTTTTCTTGTACGTGCCCCTCCTGGCGCGAGCGAACGCTCCCGTGGCAGGTGCGACCCCACGCTCGACTCACACCCGCAGGCGATCGAGCACCTGTGTCAGCCACCCAGCGGATACACTGCCCCTGGGAGGGAGGATGGAGAAGGAGAGAGGAGGAGGAGAAGAAGGTGGAGGAGGAGGGAAAGGGGAGGGCCGCTCCCCACGGACAAATGAGCAGGTGGATGTCTTTCGCCGATCGAGTGCCACTGCCTGTGCTTCCGTTTCACAAGGTATGCGACCCTTGCAGTGCATCTTGCGTAGTTTCGCAATCCGTCGAGTGGCAGAAAGCGAACATGAGCAGAGCTGGCGCAACGAAGTGCCAACAGCTGTCCTGGATGTTTCACTTCTCCGAGCGGGGACTTGTATTATCTGATATCTAGCTGGCGGAATTGGGGCGCACAGTTTATCGGCATCCAGATGGATGTTGAAGGCGATTCGGGGACGTGGTGGAAGCTAGCATGTTTTTTCCCCAAACAGCTTGCTGAACGGGGTGCTGTTGTGATAGAAGCTAACTCGGGCCGAGGGAAAGGGGAGCAGAGACATCCTCACAAAAATCTGATGGTCCCAGCCGTTTCGCTTGAGACATCCTCACAACTCTCGTTTCTGAGTTGGCCGGGGTTGGCCGTTTCGCCTGAGACATCTTCGAACAGTTGCGCTCTGGGACGCCGCGCGAGAGGTGTTCCGGGCCGTTTCTCTTGAGACATCCTCGAAACTCTGAGCCCCGAGGTGCCGTGCGAGAGGTGGTCCGGCCCTTTTCGCCTGAGACATCCTTGCAACTCTGGGCTCCGAGATGACGCTTGCGAGGTGGTTCGGCCCGTTTCGCTTGAGACATCCTCGAAACTCTGAGCCCCGAGATGCCGTGCGAGAGGTGGTCCGGCCCGTTTTGCCTGAGACATCCTCGCAACTCTGGGCTCCGAGATGCCGCTTGCGAGGTGGTCCGGGCCGTTTCGCCTGAGACATCCTCGAAACTCTGAACTCTGAGCTGCCGCGCAAGAGGTGGTTCAGCCCATTTCGCCTGAGACATCCTCGCAACTCTGACCTCGGAGATGCCGCGCGCGACGTGGTCCAGCCCGTTTCACTTGAGACATCCTCCAAACTCTGAGCCCTGATATGTCGTGCGCGAGGTGGTCCGGCCCGTTTTGCCTGAGACATCCTCGCAACTCTGCGCTCTCTGATGCCGCGCGAGAGGTGGTCCGGCCCGTTTCGCTTGAGACATCCTCCAAACTCTGAGCCCCGAGATGCCGCGCGAGAGGTGGTCCAGCCCGTTTCGTCTGAGACATCCTCGCACTTTTGCTTTCCGAGATGCCGCGCGAGAGGTGGTCCGGCCCGTTTCGTCTGAGACGTCCTCGCAACTCTGAGCTCTGAGATGCCCTGCGCGAGGTGGTCTGGCCCGTCTCGCCTGAGATATCCTCGCAACTCTGAGCTCCAAATGTTAGATATCCCCCCCTGGGAGCCCCAAGAGGCTTCAGGAAGCCACAGGTGGGGCCCAGGAGGCCACAGGAGGCCCAGGAGGACGCCACAGGAGGTCCCCAGAAGGCCCCAGGAGGCCCCAGGAGGCCCCCGCAACTCGGAGCTCTGAGACGCCGCGCTCGAGGTGGTCCCGCCCGTTTCGCCTGAGACTTCCTCGCAGCACGTTTCGCCCGAGACATCTTCGCAACTCTGGGCTCCGAGATGCTGCGCGCGAAGTGGTCCAGCCAGTTACGCTGGAGGCATCCTCGCAACTCTGGGCTCCGAGATGCCGTTCGGGATGAAGAGGAGGTGGAGGAGGAGGAAAAGGAGGAGGAGGAGAAGGAGGAGGAGATGGAAGGGAGAAGGAGGAGGAGGAGGAGGAGGAGGAGGATGTGGATGAGGGAGCAGGCAGGAGGAGGGGGAGGAGGAGGAGGAGGAGGAGGAGGAGGAGGGAGAAGGAAGGGAGTTGCAGGAGAGGACCCAACGGGAAGCGAATGTGACGTGGACTTGTCAGAACGTGTGCAAGAGGTTGTCCAGCACGTTTCGTTAGAGACATCCTTCAAATACTGATTTCCAAGATGTCGCTCGCGAGGTGGTCTGGCCCGTTTCGCTTGAGCCATCCTCACAATGCGAAGCTCGAAGATGTTAAGCGCGAGATGGTCTTGCCCGTTCTGCCTAAGATGTTTCGTGGCACAGGGGCTCCAATCACAACCTCTCTCATTATCCCGGCTCCCTTTTTCCGCTTCCCGCCTGGCTCCTCTTCCCTCCTCCCTCCTCCCGCCTCCCGCCTCCCGCTGCTGCGCCTCTGCCTCTGCCTCTCCGTCCCCGCCGTCGTCGTTTCTGCCGCCTCAGCTTCCGTCATGCGCGCCCTGGCTTCCGCCCTCTCATGTACAAACATCATGTTATCATGTTCTAACATGCCATGCCAGCCCGCACTGGACGGGCACGCAATCGACCTTGGAAACCGCAGTGCGTTTCAAAAACCCTGTCTGGGGATACTGCACTCCGGCTATAATTCCAAAGCGCTCCGAGTGTTGGTTTTTGAGTGCCCCGTGTCGTCAT